ACTCGTACCGGAGTGTCCAGCCGAGCGGCTGGGGCTGGGCCCGTACTGGAGTGTTCGGTCGAGCGGCTGGACCCGTACCGGAGTGTTCAGCCGAGTGGCTGGACCCGTACTGGAGTGTTCGGTCGAGCGGCTGGACCCGTGCCCGGATTGTTCGGTCGAGCGGCTGAACCCGTACTCGGAGTGTTCAGCCGAGCCGCTGGACCCGTATCCGGAGTGTTCGGTCGAGCGGCTGGGCCCGTACCCGGAGTGTTCAGCCGAGCCGCTGGACCCGTGCCCGGAGTGTTCGGTCCAGCGGCTGGACCCGTGCCCGGAGTGTTCAGCCGAGCCGCTGGATCCCTGCCTGGCGTGCTCGGTCGAGCGGCCGGAGTCATACCTGGGGTTTTCTGGCAGCGGTCGGCCGTCCAGCAGCCAGGTGATGTGTGGCGTGGGCGAGCCGCGGGCCGAACAGGACAGGCTCGTTGGCCGGCCACTGTCCGTCGTTTGCTTCATGAATGACGAGGTCAGCACGGGCGGCGTGTCTGCCGGCGGGGAACGACCCTCCAACTTCGTCTTACATCCACGGGACCGCATAAGGTAGCCCACACCAGCAAGACTATGAGGTGATGCTGCCTGCTATATGACAGATTTAAACTGCTGCGTTTTACTAACATTTCGACTGCTGCACGCTGTACCTCGGGAAGCTATCAGATAAATGAATGCCTACACAAAGTCCTTGACAACCAATCGTAAGGAGTCGCTTCTGTGGTCGCATCAAATCAGCCGCATTTCACTTGAAAGCGGCTTTCTGCATTTGGTTTGTTCCTGACAACAACAAAAATGGCATGAAGACCATTTGTTCCTCCGAGAGACATTTACTTTGCCATGTCTGACCTTCGTACTTATGACTACGTGGCAAAATATAAAAAGCTTGTCTGCAGTCATGTCACCCGCGATTCGTATGCCCCCTCCACACCCTCCCCCTCCCACCTCCTCCTGGAGATTCGTATGAACTCGGCGTGATGGTCGTGAACGCTGTTTTTAGAGTAGCGAGTCTGGTGTCTTCCGTCACGCAAATATGTTTGCTAACATCACACAGTTCATGCATGTACATAATGTATTTTTGGTCCAAACGGTTCCCACAAACCGCCTGTCCGAGCCCCACGGCTCTAACTCGGGGTACTCGCCCCTCCCCCCCCCCCCTTCGGCCGAGTGACCGCGGCTTACTTCCGACGCGAACGGCGGCCGTGGCCTGCGCCTCCTCGCGCAGCGCGCCGCTCTCGCCGTTCCCGACGAAGCACTGGTAGACGCCGGCATGCTCCGGTCGCAGACTCGGCACGCGCCAGACAGAGCGGTCCTCGCTGAGGCCGACGGTCAGCGGCCGCGTGTCCTTGAACCAGGTCACCGGGCCGTGCGGCCACCTGCAGGGCGAGATCACGCTGGGGTCAGCTGCAGCTCCTAGGCACTCAGTGGCATACACGCGTGCGGTGGCTGATGCAGGCTGCAGTCGGCAGGCGAGCTGGACCTCAAAAGGCGCGGCAAGATGTGACGCGTCTGGCTTATTCATTTATTGAGGTCGTATCGTTGAATACGTCACGATGCTATCATGGTAGTTAACACGATCAACATTGTATATCCCCATTGGATATATTTAGCCTCGAGTTTACGCGTAATTAAGTTGCAGAAGCGCGTGTCACCATTCGGGCACCCGCACATGGTGGATATTTTGGTCTGCTCAATGAGCCACATGTCGTCGATTTATGGTCCGTCACTCGATACCAGGCGTCAGCTCACCGCCTCCCGGTCACGACGTTTGCCTGTTTCCTCTACACATCGACGGAACGGCCGCATTGCCACCCCCGATCTCTGTGGAGGCACCTCCGCCGCGAAGTTAAGCTGGCGTCGCAGAACACTTGATTATCTAACCGTCCAACCCGCGACCATGGCCGCACACGGAGACGTGCCTGGCGCTGGCTGCTTAATGCCGAATGTCCCCCTCCCCCCATTCTCAACAGCTTGAAACCAACAAATAAATCGGTATTTGTGAAACGGAAGCGACAATGCCGGATAGCAGCACACCGGCGCAATAATAATTTTCTGACTCGCATGACATAACCACTCTCACTGATGAAGTCGAAAATTGCGATTTGCTTACAGGAAGATCCTTTTAATCTGCTCATTGATCTCAACTATGGGCCGTAATATAGCTGCATTTACATGCAGTAGGTTCAACGAGAGAGTCGGGTACATTTGAAATATCTATATGATGATGTACATAGACCAAGCAACGCCCGAGGTCAGGTCATGTACGCGGACTTGAACGCTCTTTTCCTCTCACGTTCACGTAAGCTCCGCCTTGCATTGTGCAAAATTTCAGTTCACTAAGTGCAAAGATGAAACAAAGTTTCAGCTATTATCATAACACGATAGAATGTCTACAGGTAAGTTTCAGAGACCAATGTCAATTTTGCTTAATCATGCATAGAACTGACGTGACGTGCACAATTGTAAGGACTTATCACGATTCCACATGACAGCTAACTTGGACTGCGTCTCATCAGGCAGAATCGGTCTCCAATCGGCATTCGTGAATATGAAATAGGATTCAAATCTAAAAACGGTCTCCTGCGTTTGATCGTATGACGTCGTTATGACGGGGCCTCAAATGGCCAGAGGCCTGCATTAACCTATGATGATCTGGTGATACAAACCCCAACTCGCCAGCGAGCAGAAGCCGCCATTGGGACATGCACGGCCATAGGCAAGTGTGGAGACCGGTCATTTGAACTTGACCTTTCATGCCCTGAACTTTGGATTCATCCAACTTCAATTCATAATGCCTTGCGAGCTTGCTGTAGACCAAAGCAAACACACATGAACATTGAACGAGCCCTGGAGACAGACATGGAATGCAACTATAATCTTCTGTCAATGCTGGAACGTCATTTTGATCTGACCTAGCATGACGCATGTATAGATCAAACAGATTTTTGACGTCATTTGCTTTGGAGCATGGTCAAACCGAAGGGGCGTGTAACGACCTCCTCGCAAATCGCGGAGGGGGAGGGGGCGGCTACAGGACCGCACTTTCACAATCCAGACGGTAGCTTCCAAGCGAAGGATCCTTACTGTTACTTCGACTGCACTGCGGGGCCGGTTTACAGTCTAGCCAAAACAGGCAGCAAGCATTGGGATCGATCTAAACGGCTGCATGCTTCAATAGCTTAATTGCAGGCCGCAGCTATCATCAACGGAATTTGTATCGCCCGCCAGGGCATTATTCATGCGTGGCAGCAGTAACTGGGCAAGATATATCGCCACAGCCGGCTGAAAAATCACCCTCCAACAGCTTGGATCGACAAAACGGACGATACTGACCATCGTCAACTCACTGTTGACATGAGAGACAACCGCGATGTAAATGAGCTCCGCAACGAATTGCATGCATTAAGATCACGTACCACACGCTCCCACATGTAAAGCATTGGCGACACTGCGGCAGAATATTCTAACCATTGGATTATATTAGGATTGACGGGTGGTCTTGTTCACATTCGCGCGGTATCACGCAAGTCCAACCCAATCATTCAATTCCCGGGCCCATTCCCAAGCGGTCGGCTGCGACCCTGCCGTTCGACTTCGCTTTGCTGTCCTCAGTGCTGCAGAAAAGTGCCAGGCTCGAAGCAGCGCGGATGGCGACTACAAAAGCAAGCATCTCAACGGCGCCCTGCGCGAAGTTCGATAGAAAAGGAACGCACTGTGAGCGTGAGTATGGCAAAGAGGTCAGGGGCTTCTGGTCCAGATGTCAGACATTTTCATTTCGGAGGCCAGGGGCTTGTCATGTGAAACGTCTGTTGTTCTCAAGTCGACGGTCCGTGGGTGTAAGTCGGGCGTCGGAAGTTATAGTCCACATATCAAGGTTCACAGGTCAGGGCTCAGGATTTTACAGGCGAGAGGCGAAAGGTCCGCAGGTCGTGGGTCAGACGTCTGTAGGCGGGAGGTCAAAACTGCACGGGTAAGATGTCTGGAGTTCACAGGCTAAGGATCTCGGTTCTCGCGCCAGAGTTCAGAGTTCAGGCTTCAGTTCAGACGTTCGTAGGAGATCTCAGTTCTCGCGGAGATCACTGGAGATCTCGGTTCTCGCGCCAGAGTCCAGAGTTCAGGCTTCAGTTCAGACGTTCGTAGGTCCCGGGTCGGAGGTTTACAAGCCAGAGGTCTGAGATTTGCACGCCAGAGGTCAGAGGTCAGAGATTCGCAGAGCAGTGGTCAGTTATCCGGGCTTAAAGGTCAGGGGTTCGCAGGACAGAACTCAGAGACTCGACGGTCAGAGATCAGAGGTTCGCATGTCAAAGGTCAGAGATAAGCGTGTCAAAGATTAGGTATTGGATGACCAGAGGTCAGTCGTTCCCAGACCGGAGGACGGAAGTTCTCAAGCCGGAAATCACGGCCGTCGGACTATTCGTTCGGGAACACATGGGGTTCCCAAACCGGACTGATCCCCCCGATCTGGCTCCAGTGGCTTATGAAATGGGGTGATCGCCGCTGGAGCGGGGACGTAAAGCCAGCCTGCCATGGAACATAACTCTAGATAAGTTCGGTCCTTAGCGCAGCTGCACCGTCCATTGATGGGAGCTGTCCCGGCACTACTCGGCGACTTAATGAAGCTCGACCTCTTCACTGGGTCAAATATCCGGTCTGCTGTACTTATCTAATTTAGGACCTCGTAAATTGCCTAATGAGCTGAGACGGCGACAGGGCAATTTTCTAAGCAGTGTAATCGTAAATTTCCCACAGGCAAGCATTTCCTGAAGTATTTGAGGAATTATGTTGCGATGTGTGGCAGGCCAGTGGCCAGCAGTTGCAGCTGCTCAAGGTCAGAAGAGGTCAGCAGTGCGCGGCGGGCCGTGCCGGGCATTACAGTAATAACCTCTTATTACACACTTATGCTGTTAAACAGAAATTTCACGGTTGGATGGTGCGGTCAGGGTTCACAGAACAAGCACTGATATGCGTTTTCTACATTGTCAGAAATCCATCCAGTCAAATAGCTTTGGACAAAATTAGTAAAATAACAGCAACTGTTCCCTCTTCACAATATTCTTACAGCTTGCCAGATGGACAGAACCACAACTTACAGCCCGTGCAATTTTGTACATCGGATTAACGAACAGTTTTGAAAGTTCATGAGGGTAAAATTTCTTCCCAGATAAAATGTGTCTGTTGATTGAGAGCTGGGAAATGAAGAAAAAGGGTTTGGTTTTATGGATTAGAGTCTTTCGACCAGCAATAATCATTGCAGGTCTAGACTATTGTACAGGTCAGGCAGCTTTTATAACGAGCTGCTTGCACAAAGCCGAAGCCATTCGCTTCTTAAATATAAAACACAAATAAATCTCCTTGGAACCGGGATTTGATCACAGGGGATCCTGTCAGCTCGGACAAAGCTCTTGAAAGCAGCCGTGTTTGAAATCCCCGTCCTTACCCGTGAACCGTGCAGATCAGCTCGGCTTCGGCGCCCACGTCGACGGTTGACCGAGCCGGCGTCAAGGTCACGTGCAGACCTGAGATGACCTTGACGTTGACCTTGATCTCCGTCGAGCCGTGCGCGTTAGTCGCGCGGCAGACATATGTGCCCGCTTCCCCCGGCCGCGCCGGCTTCAGGGTGAGCAAGGGCCCATGTTGAACGGCCAGTACCGAGCCGCGGTCCGTGGTTAGCTTCATCCACCTGTGGAAACGGAGCGGATGGAGAAGAAGGTCTCGACGCTGCTGGCTACTGGCGTGAGGCGCTTCATCTTTGTGCGCGTTCGGGTGGGGGGTCTAATTGACCCCTCGAGGCTTTTCCGAAATGGTTTCCGAACGGCGCGGCGTGGCCGCGCCAAATTTTGCATAGCTGTAAGCAACTGAATAGCGCATCGTGAGATGTACCTTTAAAGGTCGCTGACCAAAGGCACGTCAAAGTCAGTCCACGAATTCAGCGAAGTCAGTTTCTAGGGAATCGTTCAACCTGATGGAGTGTTAGACGAAGCCATACATCTGTGAAATACTTTCTTAGGCAGTACAATAATTAAATGACCAAATTCCATTGACATAGGGTCAGGTACAAAGGTCAGACCAAGGTCAAAACCAATTGTTTTATTACTCTAGGGCTTGCTTTATGAGGTAGTTTCTTGTGTTCATTTCGAAATGATTGATAACAGGGACCGCATAAGACATCTTCCATGAGCTTCTTAAAGGTTCTAATAGGTCACTGACGTAAAATGACCAAGGCCAATTTTTTTTCTCCTAAGGAACATAGTGCTTAGCGTAATCTTTGTCGCTTATTGGGATGCAAAACTCAAAGCAGTCTTCGATGATTCTGGTCACCATGACCATCTTAAGGTCATACAAGGTCACTGGCTCTAAGTAAGCAAGTGACCTTTTGCTTAGAACAGGTATCTAACAGGTTCTGGGGACACTTTGAAGAAAAACTCGGAGTTCGACCTTGTTTGAACTTATTTGACCCGAAGATCTTAACATAGCAACCTAAAACTTATGCCTAAGTGAGTTCACGTACCGGCCAAGACACCCTGTGAATTTGGTGTCTCCGGCCCTCTTAGTTCCTGAGATCCCAGGAGGGTCAAATTGACGCCCACCCAAGCGAAAGGTATCCAGCCGGCCACCCGGGCGCGTGATAAGGCGTGTTCGGGGAATCTTAATTGGACGAGCCATACAGGAAGTATGTTACGGGTCACGTGACAATGGTTATGTGTGGTGTGATGGGGACACGTGAAAGGCTCGATATGGTCCTCTGTGAACGTAAGGCACAATGCGTCACTGAAAACGAAACAGTACAATATTAACCTAGCGTTTTTTGTAACTCGCGGACAGGGGCTCGGGCTGAAATGAAGCCCTTCAATCAATCTAATGAAACCGTAATAAATGCATAGCATGGGGGCGTATGTCAAGTATTAGAGTTCAATCCATTTTTCTTAGTTTCAAAAGGAATGCACTATGTCCAGACTAGCCATACTGATATCGGATGCATGATGCGTGTTGTCAGTAGCTCGCCCCATTTTACCTGCACCGGTAGTCGGTGCCCATAGATAACGGTGACCTCCATCACATGTGCCACACATTCCGCCAATTCACAGCATTAAACATAGAGACAAGTATGCCCAACACATATGTAATATGTGTGTGTCCTTTAGAGGCATCATGCAAGTTCCCAGTTACTTATATAACGCATCACACAGAAATATGGAAAACAAGGGATATACGCATTTCTGCACCCTGTAGGTGTTATCTTGTTTTGATACACTATGACATGCGTGCACCGTACGGCAGGATCATTCGCCGTGAACAGCTGACACTGTTTATCATATTTTCAAAAAAAAACATTCATCGGCGTATTACATCTGTAAACTGTGATCCCGATCACCTTGCAGTGCCCTTGTCGCCGGGCGATTTATGCCAACTGGGATCATCGCTTTGTCATAGTCGCGTTCCTCAAGTAAATGCTGTTTTTCTTTACCAGGTCATATTGTTTACTATATTCATTTTAGTGACCTTCAGTATTGTGATGTTGGCCAGTCTAGGTTGCGACATCACAATATCCTGACTAAAACGACTGAACACTATCTGCGCGTGCATGTCCTATGCAGTGCTCTCTCGGCGAGCTCCCCCCCCTCCCCCTCCCCCCCCCCCCCCAGCGCTATGATTTATGCCCCCGCTCTGATATATGCTCTCTGCACGCTGTAATACATGCCCCTCCTCCTCACTGTACTACATGGTCTGCCCTCCTCGACCGCTGTGATACATGCCCCCGTTGTGATGCAAGCCACCTCCCCGCAGTGATACCTGCCCCCCCCCCCCTCCCCCCGCTGAGACACATGCCCCCTCGCTCTGATGCATGCCACCCGCTGTGAAACATCCCTCACGCTGTGATACATGGTCTACCCTCCCCGACCGCCGTGATGCATGCCCCCCCCTCCCCCCCCCCCCCCCTGCTGTGATACATGCCCTCCGCTGTGATACACACCCTCTCTGCGATACATACCCCCTCCCCCCGCTGTGATGCACGGTACACCCTGTCCCACCGCTCTCTGTCTCTCCGGACGCTTCAAATTGTAGGGAGCCCGATCTGCATAAGCCCACTTTGCACTCTCTAGACACAGCCGTAGCCAATTAACGCGAGACGGCAAACACTACCGCCGACGACGGCTGGTCTTTTCCGCTGGTGCTTATCCGTCTCGCCTCCTGCTGCCTCGCCCGGCGCCCCTGCTGACTCCAGCGGCGCCTCGCCTCTTGGTCCTCCGTCCGGCACCCCTGCTGACTCCAGCGGCGCCTCGCCTCTTGCTCCTCCGTCTGGCACCCCTGGTGACTCCAACGGCGCCACGCCTCCCGCTGCCTTGCCCGGCGCCCTTGCTGACTCCGGCGGCGCCTCGCAGCTTGCTCCTCCGTCCGGCACCCCTGATGACTCCAGCGACGCCTCGCCTCCCGCTGCCTCGCCCGGTGCCCCTACTGACTCCGGTGGCGCCTCGCCTCCCGCTGCCCCGCACGGCGTTCCTGGTTGCCCACGATCACAGGACATCGGCACAATCAGGAGCCGGGCATCAACCGGTCAGGGATCAGCTGTCCGGACGATCAAGAGATGGGGAGCTGACAGACCAGTGAGGGGGAGATGAGCGATGGGAGATTGACAGATCAAGGGCAGGGCACTGTCAGATCAGTGACAGAAGACCGGGGATTCAGAAAAAGGAGATCGATAATTAGGGCCAGAAAACCAGGAGACTGGAGGAATGAGACCAGCAGATCAGGAGACAAAGGCCGACAGGTCAGTGGCGGGATACTGACGATATTGATGGTGTTACCATAGTAGCCAAACACATCAACGAGTTTGCCCAGCGGAGGCGACAGAGGTTTCGAGCATTTGGGAAAATAAGTGCAAAACCTGCTGCGCATCACCCCCGATGGCCTGGAGCTCATTACTGGCCAGGCAGGGACCGAAGTGACTGCCAGTCTTCATCTGTGGCGGTCCGCTGGCTCAGCCAGTCATCAGGTCGTCAGCCGTCAACTCCCAAACGGCGCTGTCGGCCCCGTTTCGGCTTCTCACCTCCGGCCTGAAGGTCACAATATCGGTCCGTCTGACCGAGGAGATAAGATGATGGGGAACGGGGGAAGGGGTAAGAGGACATGTGGGTACCTGCTAACCATAGCTCGGGGACGGTCGAGCCGGCGCCAGATGGGCCCCTGGGCGCCGCTGCGCCGCTGCCTGACGACAGTACAGCTCCTGTGAGGCGCTCCTGGCTCCGCTGTCAGCTGAATGGCTCCAGTAATGCCCTCCGCACCGTATTTCTTCCTATGCGTAGAGCGCCGTGCAGAAAACACGGAGTGTTCGTATAGCATTTCTTGGCTTGCAAATATCTGCGAGCGCAAAGCTTTCCGTATGGCTTGCATTGACGGTATTAGGTGACGTTGACGGCATTGGTTTGAGGGCACCTACTAACCATAGCTTGTTGCGTATGCCCTGAAGCAACCACCAAGGTCGTACCGGCCAGTTTAGCGAATTATTTTGACTTTGCAAAAACAAACAAATGCGTGCGGAGGTTTGCATACCGAAATTTGTGAAACAAAATATGATGGGTATCTTTATCTACAAAGTTCACTACAAAACAATGCAATAATTTATCAATTTGATTTCTTTATAAAGTTTTGCACGCATAGCAATGCGGTATGAGCAAATGCAACAGGAAGTTGTGTACAGTAGTTCAGTCGATGACGGCAAATGGCCGGGAGGGAGATTCCCTAGGGAGGGATACTTGGACCACTGAAAAAGGAACGGGTTGATTGCAGGTTGAAATAATAAACAATGACTGGGAAATCATTATCATTCGTTGAGTTGTCTTACTCCAAACATAACAGCTCTAGATGTTTGTAATGTTTATAAATAATAGCATTAGCATTTCAGCTTGTTATTGAGAAAAGACAGTCGTAATAACCTTATTCCTCGAATAAAAGCCAGGGTATATACAACATATACATGGGTTACATATACATATACATGAACAACATATACATGAACATAACATGGGTTGATTTTTTTTAAAATGCCTTTAACAAAACAATTGCAAAAGTGAAGTTAAAATCAAGGCAGCTCTGAATTCACTTCTGCCATTGCTTCGATAAAGACATGTTGCCGAAATATCAGCCCATCTATGTTTCCATTCTCCTGGCTTTTCTCTGAGGAATAATGCTATCACTATTGTTTTATCTATTTGAATAATGTTCCTCGCAAATGCACTGAGCAACGCACTCAATTTTGTTTATTACGAACTATGCCGTAAACGTGTTCAGATAAATTACTGAGAGGGCAAAGTCAGGATCACAGATCGTGCCAGCTTAACGTTTTAAGCGGGCACTGGTTGCAAACCCCAGGGTTCTTGACCATGGGACATCTCAATCAGTGCTATTACGTTAAACAACTAGATACGAGGGTTCCTGATGCTCCGCGCAGTCAGCAAAACAGTCGTTCGTGCTGAATGTTCCCTCCCCTCCCACCTCTTGCATGGGGAAACTCAACACCTTAGAGTGATGCACATTGATATCTGGTTTGGGCTGAAATCGTCATGTTGAGTTGAGAGAGGGCGCGCAGTTCACAGCTCTGTCCTTATTAAAATCTAGAGCCCTCTGGTTTCTGAGCTGCACGCCCGTGAAGATGTGCTGACTATCGCGTGCATGCCACAGCTCCCGACAAGTTTTAAGCACTAAGAGTAAGTGGCAATTTCGCGCGGCTAGTTTGGCAGTACTTCAATGTCATGTAAATGTTCCATGACGCAAACAATGGCGTACTGAGGAGCTTATATACTAAATAGAGAAACTGTGTTGCATTGAGCAGTTTGTCTGGTTCAACGTACACCTATGGCTATAAATGAATTTATGTTATCATATATCATGCTTGCTTCAACATCTTCAAATGTGGAGCATTCCCTTTGAGCAGCAATCGAGCCTCTGTGATGACGTGCTTCAAAGAGATGTGTCTGCTACTGAAGGTGAAAAACGAGCGGCGAGCTGACCGGCGTGCAGCCCGCGGCGTCTACAGACCACCGTAATCATACGGGCTCGTGCTCTGGTGCTCCGCGAGCGTGCGTCTGACGTAACTACGGACACAGGCCGTAAGCTTCTGTCTGAACGTGAGCATGAGCCCGGATTAGGTTGGTTGAGACAAGCAATGCTCATTGACACGTAATTCACTCTTATTATGATTGCAGATTGGTTGCATCAAGTACATTAGCACACGACCAGTTGGCCGACTGTTAAACGACGCCGCTCGGTTGGGGAGGGGTGGAACATTCACCTCCTAAGATCTCAAAAACTCACGCCTGACCCAAGGCCAAAGGAAGTAATCGTAACCCTTAGTTTCATTTCCTTGTCAAGAAAAACCGTCTCAAAAAATGAATGTCTTTTCCACCACTCCGTTATCGCACCATATTGAACGGTTCCCTAGGAATTGTCTCCGCTGGCAGCCATGTCTTGCTCTTAACCTGTCACAGGTCAACGAACTTACAAGGTACATCCAATTTAATACAACAGATTGGCTTTTTCATTGCCTACAGCTATACTGGATTGGGTGCGGCTATCCTGCACCACTCGGAAGTTATTTTGGAAAACTTTCGGGGAACAGACTAGCCCTCAACTGAGTGCTTGTTAAAAGCATAAAAGCATTCGCAACATGCTAGACACTGTTGTTTGCTGCTAATACAATTCTGAAGATAACTATCTCAGCACTATTTTACTGGCATGCTCTTCATTGCACCATTCGTTTTTTTTCGATAGGAAATAATACACGATGTTTTCATCTTTGCTTTGTCTGACCGCAGGTCATATTTTTATATATAATTATATTTATAACTATTATAATTTATTATTTTATTTTATTTCATCATCATATCATTATTAGATGTTATATTTATGTACATCGTTCAAATATGTATTACATATATTATATATCGCTATATATTATTATCATATATATTAACATTATTATACTAATAAAACAAACAAATTTAAAATAATAAATTTGTCTGATCGCAGCATACTCAAACTGACTTCAAGGTTCCTCCTTGCCCCTCATTAGCGCTATGCAACGTTGCCTTCCATTTCCTAGCGGGAAGTGTCGCGAATTCTGTTATGATCGTAAGTGGTAATTAGTTGTTTAATGCACGGGGAGGTACTATACTTCACAGAGGATCTACCGAAAACACTCACGGGGACCTGATAATGGGCGGTGGGTAGTTGGATTGTTCGTGTGGTTAAGAAAAGGATTAGCGGCAGTCCACAGCCCCAGGGCGATCGGCGATCCCCCAGCGGGCGCTGCACGTACCGTACTTCGGCGACGGGCTGTGACGTCACGACACATGGCACGATCAGGGTGTCGCCCTCCCGGACGACCTCCTCTCTCCGGAGAACGGTCACCTCGGGGGCGTCGGGCGTCGCCGGCTCTGCAACCGCCGACACAGCCGAGGTCAGCGCCGCAGCCGGGGTCGGCCATGTGGCCCGTCACGCTATGCATCGTTCCTTTCGCAGCTGGCTGCGGTATGTCAGCGGATAGGCAATGTGCTCCAGCTCATTTGCGCGGTGCGTGTTCGGTTCGCCAGAAGTATTCAGCACTTGCGATGCGCATCCTGGTGCATGCCTTTACATATGCTATAAATAACTTAAACGCAACTTTTTCACTGATAATGCAACTAATTTCAGATAAGGTTATTTGTTCGTGTACCAAGCTACGGCACAAGCGGGTATCGCTACCGCACGGCAATTGCCTGTCGCGGCAAAGTACACGGACTTTGCCAAAATAACCTTTCTACCTGTCTGGTTTCCGGAGATGCCGTCAGGTCTGATAGGCTCTGCAATGAACTGGTAGCTAGTGAGGGATGATGAACTGACGGCTGGTGAGGGATGATGAACTGGCGGCTGGTGAGGGATGATGATCTGGTGGCTGGTGAGGGATGATGAACTGGTGAGCGACGATGAACTGGCGGCTAGTGAGAGATCATGAACTGGCGGTTGGTGGGGGATGATGAACTGGCGGCTGGTGAGGGATGATGAACTGGCGGCTGGAGAGAGATCATGAACTGGTGAGGGATGATGAACTGGTGCCTGGTGAGCGACGATGCACTGGCGGCTGGTGAGAGATCATGAACTGGCGGTTGGTGGGGGATGATGAACTGGCGGCTGGTGAGGGATGATGAACTGGCGGCTGGAGAGAGATCATGAACTGGTGAGGGATGATGAACTGGCGGCTGGAGGGAGATCATGAACTGGTGGGGGATGATGGTGGCAGAGATTGGCGTCCCAGCGACACGAAGGGGTAAGCGTCGCGCAGTGCTGAATAATCCGCAGACAACGATGACTGCAGATAGCGATCCCAAGCTCTAAATAGCATATTCATCCGCCGATTGTCCAAAAACATTAGACCATAGAGGTTAACTTTGTGCGTGCTTCTTTCTATCCCTATGCACGTCGTCTAGAGCCTCCTCGATAACGCCTGCCACAGAATTAACTCGCTCCGTTGCTTTAGCATTGCTGAAATGAGGTGGCGGGTGACGAGTCGAAAGTGAAATGTGCAGAACCGTCACTAAATTCCGGCGCAAAACAGCAAACGCAAACAAACGCGGATGAGCACTGTAAGAGCCATTGTCAGCAAAAGTGTGTAATAGTATTCAATTTCGGACCATTTCAGGGGCACAATATTCCTTTTGGTGATATTTGGCACGTTGTATATGACCTCCAACAGTCTATGACAGCGGCGTGATGTTGACAAATACGTTGAGGGGAGGGCCGAACAGTGAAAAATGACACCTGAACCCCGAAATACGCCAACAACCGGATTTTTACACGCAACTTGGGTAAGCTGAAGGCTTCTTTCCCCCAACTAAATAGGACACTACACACCTGGTCTGCAATGTTTCTGCTTTCCTTGTTTGCATTTGACACGTTGACCCACTAAACGCGGATAATGTTCTTGCTGGATTCGGTAAATCGATGGGAACACAATGCCGTTTTGTCCCGGAGCTGTTAATCTGCTGCCATGCGGCAATGACAACATCATTTGAAGCTTTCGTGCGATGCTATTAGTACACTGTTAACTCTGTCAGCATTGTTTTGAAGCGTTTTTTTCAGATTTGACCTGGCGTTACCTTGATTTTGAATAATACTTGCATCACTACTGACGCAACAGTAATTTCGGCGCATAATATAAGATGTTAATGTATTCCAGGTGGTAAACGCAAGTGGTTATTGTCAATCATATCAGTTCAATCGAAGTGTCTGCAAGATTTCACCTTGCTTTGGCACTGGCACGACTGGTCTTTGTTCACGTCATGGGCATTGATGGTGTGCATTATATAGGCCTTTCCCATAGAACCACCCTGCAAAATTATTTCTTGGTTCAGAGTACCACGAATACATCAAAGAGCACAGATTTTCCACCTTTCCACCGTGTGGACACTTGCCACGATACAAAAGTCGGTGACCGGAGACGGTAAAGAACGGAAATGTACTGGTTTGGCATAACTAAGTGCGACGGCGACCTAAGCAGAATCTAACCAGCTACGAAAAGTTGGACAGTTCTGGAAATACCGTCGAAGAAACGAAAGGAGTTTACACCGTCCCGAGAGCAATTTGTCTCCTACACATATGGTTAAGAGGTTGAGCTCACTAAGGACGTTTTCAAATGCTACTTGAAGCAAAACCAGCGGAAAATATTGGGTAACAAAACAGGTTCTGAACCTCGATGATCTCTTAAGCCACCAATACTGTCATTCCCTCTATTTTCAGTTTTCTGCCGCCAGGCGATAAGGTGCCACCGTTACGTGAGCACCACCAGGTGTAAATGAGGCATGGCATATGGCATACTCGCCTCCACTTGTCCCGTTTCCAAATGAAAATATTCGCAACATTATTACGACGTAAGACAGGTCCTGTTAAAAATAAAATGTCACACGAAGTATAATGGACAAGTACACTTTTGCAGACATGAAGCTCACAACCGATTTGTTTGATGGACGTCACCGCTACACATCATAACCGGATGGGGCTCCTGTCCGGAGAGTTCCGTTTCCGGCGCAAATCGCCTCGGTAACCGGACACGGCCGCGGCGTCGCGGCTCGGTAATGTGCGGCGGTTTCTTGCGTGTCGACGGCCATTAGCCGAGGGAAAGGCCCCTCCGACGACACCTACCCGCGAAGCACGACCCACGGAAACGCCGGTGACAATTGCCAGCTTGTTTGGACGAGTTTTTCTAATCGTCCAATTCGCGTATCACGTCCAAATGGCATAGATACGGTCATGGTGATGATCGGCCACAAACAATGGCGGACCTGTCCCTGAACCCACAGAAGAAATCTCAGATTTCACACGTGAATTAAGTCCACAAATTTGAATTAAAGCCCGAACTTATAAGCCATCGTTCGACAACATAAGCAGAAAAACCCTTGATTTCAAAGGACCCCTTCGCAAAAATCCAGAAAAGATTCAGACTGCTAAAGACTTGGCAAAGTTTGAAAATGAAATTCTAACCTCAGAAGATCCTTTGACAAAGTTTCAGAAGGGGTCATGTGTAATGTATCATATAAGATCCAATGGTTGTGAATGAAAATATCGGGCTCAGGATTTATTACTGAAGTCTACAACACAGCAAATGACTCTTGGCCTAATGTATTTCACCAGTCTGAGCAGCCAAGCTGTGGCATTGTCACACATGCAAACATTTTCAGGCTAGGCATGCTACACTTTTGGAGGCCATCAAATCGAAAAATGTTGTTTATATGCATTTAAATACGCGTTTTAAAAAAAAATAAGAAGGAATTCATCGAGCATGACTAAACTCATTAATTTCGGAAAAGCAAACAACCGTAGTTGGGGTGTATACACGTAGTGTCCTCTAGGGTGACATACCACCTCTTTGCTGCACTTATCACATGTATGAAAAGGTGCGTGAAAATGTGTTAACATGCTGATGATATACGATTCGGGGTGGACCAGCAAATTTAAATGAATCGAAAAAATGTGATGTTTTACCTCAAGGGGACAAACTTGCATGCGGCTGTGGCGGACTAACCTGGGATATAAGTGGACTTTTTGTGCCCCTTCCCTCCCCCGGGATAGCAAATTTCAGTGTACGCTCCTGATCCTGGTAATAAGCAACAGCGAAATTTTGATGAAGTTAGGTGGATGTCGATTATAACAGAGTCATGGGCGGAGCCACACGGAGTCAAACAGAAGCAACTGGACACGCCCCACCCCCACCCCTCCCCCGCCAAAATGATCAAAGTTGGACAAAAAAATGAAACATTTAGAAACTTTAAAATAGAACGTCTCTCTCCCGCAGGAGCAGCTACTTCAAATACAAATTCTGAGTTGTTCACAAGGATTTCGAAAAAACTGATATTAGATATCAAACGGTACGCGTTTGATCTAGTAATAAAAGAAAAGTACAAAAAACTGGCATGCCACCTTTAACTGGTATTTGGTACATATGGGCATTGCATGGTAGTAATTGACATACAATTCCAAAAGTCATCCCATTGTACTGGAACAACGTTCTATCCCCCAACATGATGCACAAGTAATTCTGAAAGGAACAGCACCCACTAAACATGGAGATGATGAAAATGCCAACCGGTATGGATAAAAATAGTGCCAAAGCCTCAAAATAACCCAAAATTAAGCAGTAGAACACAGTTTATAACTAATCTGGCTCTCGTCTTCTACATGGCTGGACTTTTGGGATCAAAAGCTAATAATTTCGTGCTGCGTAAGCCCTGGCCCAGTATCTGATCTTCAAGTTCTAGGTCAACGGCTGAATGTTGCGGCGGAAGTTCAGAGCGCAGAAACGCTGGACACGGTCCACCCCACCCGCTGTCATCGCCTGGTCTTGAGCGTTGCCGGTGCTGCTGGCCGTAGGCCGTCCCAGTCAGGGGTATACAGTGGGCACCTGAAGTGACTCGAGCAGTTTCATCGTTACATGAGAGGGAATCGAAAGGCAGGCGCTCTATACAGTGAGCCACCGAACGAACCGGTTCACACTTTATGCGACATAGATAAGACAGTAGTGTTAGCCTTATTCCTCGGGAAAAAATAAGGAGAATAGAGATAAAGTTAGGTTGATATTTCGTCAGCATGCCTTTCTCGAAACAACAGCAGAAGTGAATTGAAAATTGCCTGCCGATGATCCTACCCTATTTTTCAGGTTGTTTTTGAAAGAGCAGGCCACAGTTTTTTTCTGGATACCAATATTCAGGGGCTTAAACAAAGAGCAATTGTCAGCCATTACCAGGATACAGTGCCTGTCTAAGAATTAGAATGCCCGGACATACGTGTACATGCAAATGAACTCAAGCAAATAGGCATCACGCATCACGCTTCATTCGGACATGAAAGCGAGCTGAACTAAACAGGCATCACGCATCGCGCATCAATTATGCATGCAAACTATTTCCATTGAACAGGCATCGCACATCACGCGACAGGCATCACTTACGTATGTAAACGATTTTAAGCTAGCACAATTCACACATAGAGGCACAGTATCACGTCCGCATAATTGGCCATGATGAGCCCTGTACGTTAAGATTTGGTCCGCCTGTGCCGACAGGTCGCCTGGTCCAGTAATGCTCCTCGCTAATGCACTGAACATCTTTATGTGACATGACCAATCGTCACGGATTGGAAATTACACCGACCTCAGGGGAATATGCGATTATTTTTTCCTGCTGAAGACTTCTCCCCGGTTCTCTCTAGATCTTCCCAGTGTCCAAGAAGAACGGAACGAGTAGCCGCGCAAACAGGACGCTTAAACCCTGTTTTGCTTTCCACGTAAGCTGATCTGTGTTTGGATTTTACTTGAGTCACAGCTAAACCCAACCGAGTAGCACCTGGATTTACGCAGTGGAAGTCACGCCATCCCGTTTATAGCAAAACAGATCAGCTTGGTCTAAGTTGGTGTTCGGTCCTACATCGACATGATCCAGGACTTAACACGCCGTCCGATGGTACATCATAACCACAAGCGCTGGCACTAAACTGACACTATGGAAGCATGGACACAGTCAGTCCAACCGGCGTCCACCACCGACTCAGCAGAAACGCCCGTTCCCGAGCGAAGAGTGGAGGCTTGTCCGATTTCACAGAGTGAGGGCGGACCTTCAGAGTGAGGGCGGACCTTCAGAGTGAGGGCGGACCTTCAGAGTGAGGGCGGACCTTCAGGCGGGGAGTCTGGCGCAACTGGGATTCGAACCACGACCCCACGATTGAGCCCCAGGTGCTAACCTTTCGGCCGTCACGTCCCCGTGCTGTGCGTCAGTAGAATCATGACACCGCTGACAGCTTTCCTCCATGGTCTTTTGATCGATAGGACAAAACAACTAAACAGAAGCTCAGATAGTCAAGAGCGCACCGGCATGGTGATCAAAATCCTGTGCAGCTAAACCGTGAACAGTGTAAGTGTTTTTTTGTCATTTAATCATTTGTTGATAAGGTCTGTTCTATAATAGGTAATATGACATGTTGACAGTTGACAGGTCTGTCGGCTGATGGACAGTCCAACGGTGTTCGGGTTGTAACAGCCCCGAATGCATGCATCCAGCAGACGCTAGCCGTGCACTGTCGATATTGCCTGTTAGGCACAGGTGGCCACAGGCTAACAGGCGTCAGCTAACAAAATGGCATCGGAGGAATGTTGTCTGCCTGCACTCGAGACATCACTGCAGCGCGCTGCACTCTCATCACCGATCCCCCAGGGGCTTCCTGCAATTAAAGCCCGGCTAGTTTCGTGCATTGAATATCTTGAGCCGCAGGCAGACCGTGCCGCGCGCGAGCTCAACTCCCCTGTAGGATACAACGGAGTCGCCCAGCGGAGTTCGTTGCAAACCGGCGGCACGCGGACGCCTCGAGAGAGGTAACGGGGTGCAGGTCATGGCCACGTGCTCCATTAGTGGTGGTGACTGATATGTGTGCAACTCTTTTTCCACTGCAGCTAGCCTAAAGTGGTGAAATGCGTGCAAATGACTTATTGAGGTCAATAACTGATGAATATATAGAGGTCAATATAAATAAATACACCAATATTCATAATTCGTCAGCAACTATCGATTTGGAGCTGTCTAATGTCATCAGTTATAGTGGCAGGAATATTTCCCTCCAAGCGAATTTGTTAGTTTGGATTTTGTTCAGCCGGGTACTTGGACCGCTTTTGAAGGTAAAGCAAATGGCTTCCTGTGCTACAAATGAATCAAACTCTGATTGTAAACAAAGCCGTCAGTCACGTTCCGCGCCGTTCTCAGCGCTGCTTACCATGCTGGAGAACCTTGGCAGCGTTGGCGCTTAGCTTTGTTTGACCAGTCACCGTGTTGACCACGCGGCAGCGGAACGTGTGTCCCTCGTCGATATCGAATGACTGCAACAACAGCTCGCCGCTGGGCAGCATGACGTACTTCCCATCTGCGGAAACAAAGCTCAGTTAATACGCTGGAAAATGGTGCGATGTGTGGGATCGCCTGACCTCTTCAGTGAGTGATGTCCGTGTATTTCGAAACGCTATAGCTGCCAACTAACTAGCGGAAAATGGCTCCCAGCCACTCCGGCGGCGCTTCATAAGCTGGTCTGTCGCCAACCTGTTTATAAAATTGCTGGCTCGGTTGTCACTCCGCTGTCGACGGCCTCAGGCGGCGCGTCACCAAGGCTCAGCCACGCGCCAGTTCCTCGACCGAGCCCAGCGGCAGTCTGACAGTGTGACGGTCTCTCCATCGGTCTCACAGCAGCCTGACAGTGTGACGGTCATGTGCCAGTCTCCCCGACCAGCCACCCAGGCGGCCTGACAGTGGACAGTCTGTTTCTAGACTCTGAACGACTTCTGACCGCGTGACCACTGCGCCCGATAACCAGCGTTCTCGGATCTCTGACTGCGACGACTCCGCCAGTTTGACGGCAGTCCCGCGTGTCCTGTGTTTCAGCGGCAGTACTGCGTGTCCTGTGTTTCAGCGGCAGTACTATGTGTCCTGCGTTTCAGCGGCAGTACGCGTGTCCTGTGTTTCAGCGGCAGTACTGTGTCCTGTGTTCAGCGGCAGTACTTGTGTCCTGTGTTTCAGCGGCAGTACTGTGTGTCCTGTGTTTCAGCGGCAGTACTGTGTCCTGTGTTCAGCGGCAGTACTGTGTGTCCTGTGTTTCAGCGGCAGTACTGTGTATCCTGTGTTTCAGTGACAGTCCCGTGTGTCCTGTGTTTCAGCGGCAGTACTGTGTATCCTGTGCTTCAGCGGCAGTACTGTGTTGTGTTTCAGGCAGTCTGTGTCCGTGTTTCAGCGGCAGTACTGTGTGTCCTGTGTTTCAGCGGCAGTACTGTGTGTCCTGTGTTTCAGCGGCAGTACTGTGTGTCCTGTTTTTCAGCGGCATGTATGTTGTGTCCTGTGTTTCAGCGGCAGTCCTGTGTATCCTGTGTTTCAAGACAGTACTGTGTATCCTGTGTTTCAGCGGCAGTACTGTGTTTCCTGTGTTTCAGCGGCAGTACTGTGTGTCCTGTGTTTCAGCGACAGTACTGTGTGTCCTGTGTTTCAGCGGCAGTACTGTGTTATCCTGGTTTCAGCGCAGTACTGTGTGTCCTGTGTTTCAGCGGCAGTACTGTGTTTCCTGTGTTTCAGCGGCAGTCCTGTGTGTCCTGTGTTTCAGCGGCAGTACTGTGTGTCCTGTGTTTCAGCGGCAGTACTGTGTGTCCTGTGTTTCAGCGGCAGTACTGTGTGTCCTGTGTTTCAGCGGCAGTACTGTGTACCTGTGTTTCAGAGACAGTACTGTGTATCCTGTGTTTCAGCGGCAGTCCTGTTGTATCCTGTGTTTCAGAGACAGTACTGTGTTTCTGTGTTTCAGCGGCAGTACTGTGTGTCCTGCGTTATCAGCGGCAGTATCGCGTGTCCTTGTGTTTAAGCGGCAGTACTGTGTACCCGTGCTTCGGCGGCAGTAACTGTGTATCCTGTGTTTCAGCGGCAGTACTGTGTGTTCCTGTGTTTTCAGCGGCCGTACCTGTGTGTCCCGTGTTTCAGCGGCAGTCCCGTGTGTTAAAGTCAAGATGTTTAAGAAGCCACCACCTGTCCTAGGAGATTGCCATGTAAGAAGGGTCGATTACACATGCACATTATTCCGTCACTCAGTCTTCTTTCATGTTACATCCATCACTCAGTTTACAGCGAACTAGCTGATGGTAAATTCCTAATGGTGGGGCAATTGATGGCTTGACCTGGTCGCTATAAAAAGTCATGTACCTGACTAGACATATCAAGTACATGCAATTAGCCGCAGCCATAGCTGTATGCACGTAGTTACGTAGACACGTCTACAGATTGTGCTGTAATCCTTACGTCCCCGACATGAGTGATCAAGATAAAGGTAGGGCTGAAATGGATGACAATAGGTAGAAAGCAAGCAAGTTAACGATGGATGGATGCGGTACGATTAGGTTACGATAATGAGCTAAATGTAAGAGTGTTTGCTTAACATATCTTACATCGTCGACATCAAAACAATTTACCAACTTTTATGTAAACACAACAGCAATGATCTGCTTGACGCATTAGACCGATGTAACGTATTTTCTATCGAAGTTTCAGTGCACACTATTGACAATTGATATGCACCGAAGCGGAATTTTCCACACTTTCAGCAGTCAAATCCATGATGCTCGTAATAAGACAGGCAAAGAACATGTAAGGGAATGAATATCACATGCCCACAGCACCAAACTGAAATATAGATGGATGATTTCATGTGGCGTTGAACTGTGTCTCAATCAGCATATTTTGTCCAAGAACTTTACGCTACACTTCGTTAAACACCAAAGAATCTGGCCGCCTAAGAGCCCAGGGCTGTGAGTGACTGTGTGCTGTATTTTAAATCATAAACCCGATTTTGCTGTCATTTGTGAAGTTATCCGTCAAGTTATCGGATGCAGCAGCCAGCGAAAAGCCTGACGAAATGATTTTCCGCGTCGTGTGAGCTAGAGTAGCCTGTGTTCGACTGTCCATGTTTGCATTCAATCTAGTAATGGTGAGGCCCATACGCCAACCTCATAAACAATTTCTTCGTCCTGCAGTTTATCAGAAACTCTGCCAGAACTTTGGCATGCTTTCACTTTCCTGAGCACTCCAGAACATGAAGCGGCGCAATGTATGGGCAGACACCAACTTAGTTGTTTTTTTTTTGTAGTTTGCGCCTGAAACTGCCCAGCGCTTCCAAGTGTTGTACGATGAAGTGAAACGTCCCTTGTTTTCATTTCAACAATCATTACATGAAACAATGTCAGTGCCAAAACCAATCATGCATACATTATGAAAGGAGACCAGCACAACTAGCCGCCAGTAGCTTGTCATTAGATCTGGTTTTTGCTGTCAGCATTGCCGCGGCACGATAACTGTTACGTCGCCGTGGGACGCGAGTTTCATTCCATCACGTTTGCACTGACCGGTATCGTCGCTGGGGTAGATATTGAACTCGTCGTCGCGCACCCACGACGCCACGGTCACGTGGTCGGTGACGTAGTCGGGCACGTCGCAGGTGAACAGGGCGGGACTGCCGGGCGAGGCGTAGCTGTCCCGCACCCCCAGGTTAAACGGCTGGTTCATCACTGCAGAGGGGCCGGCGGTGAGGTTGACGGGGAGGGGGGCACACTGGTGAGACGACGGACGTCATACACACTTGAGGAAGCTTGTGTGCGAGCCTTAGTGAAAACATACTACGGTAGCAAGTACAGTCACTTCGTTCGTCCCAGTGACTGATCGTCTACTGAATGTTTTACTAAGACTTGTACTAATAGCTCAATATGTTACATATGAAGGGAACAGCCCTCTTCAACATGATTCAAAGCGTCATTAGCGAACCGAGCGTTTACTTCATGGGCACGTTTAATGAGCTCATTGATCCGCCGGCCAGGTTAATCTTGAAGACTGAAAACGTGCATCGATCCCGCCCGGCGCCGGCGCTGCCAAACACACCATCAATCGCACTTGGAGCAAATCAGCATTAGCTTCGTGCCGGCGCCCTAGTCACATTTCTCGATAAGTTGGTCTTTGTTTACCGTGGCCGCGACCACAAAAGCCGTTTCCGGCACCCGGCACCCTGTGTGGTGCGGGCTGACACATGTGGGCAGGGTGGGTGGTGTGGTCTACAGACGGCGATGGAGATTAATGGTCTCTTCCTTCTCCAGCCTCAAAATGAATGGCGCGAACGGGCCGCCCCGTCCGCTCCCGTATGGAGATATGGAGTTTAATTACGTGGGCCGTCTTCGTTATCGCGGAAGTGGCGAAAACACGCTCTCGTGAACTGAACGTCTCAATGGTGGTGTTAATCTAGAAGTTCTCCCACTCCCTTGTGAAACCTTTGCCCTTTGTGTGGCCCACTTCCTGAAGACTGTTCTGAACGGAGCTTGACGCCAATTCATCCGATCAATTGCTGCAATGATCCACGGGATGTCGGAGTGCCAGCTGAATGTTAATGAGTCTCAGACAGCCGCTGAAGCCCTCCCCCCCCCCCCCCCATAAGCAGCGAACCAGGTGGTGGTCTGGGTATTTGCCGGCGAGCCCTGACGGGAGTGCGCACCGTCGCCGAGAATAACCCCCTGCCAGCGTCACCATCATTCGTCTTCGGCGCGGCTGAAAGCCGTTAAGACATCGTTCCGAAGAGAAGCGGCCCTCTCGCCTCCAGGAGATGCTCGCGTTGAAAAATATGTTTGTTAGGAGTAGCATGAATACATTTTTGCCGCAGCTGCTAGGAAGATGGCACCGACGCTTTTGCGTTGGACGTGATAGTTGGGTAGAGTCAACTTCGAAAATAACTTGTACTCGCGGCTCAAATCGTTTGCATTCATCTCTTTGTGCCAAAGCATACGCATGCAGGGAAGCTGAGCTCTCAGTGCGTATTTCACCACGTTGCCAGTGCGCCAGCGAATGCACACTTGCCCGGCACCGGAACGGCTGATGCCCCGCACGTGACGCCAGTAAATGGCCCCCGCCAAACGACCCAATCTCAGCCGACGACGTCACCCGGCTCCAGTCCCCACCCCTCCCCGACGGACGCGGAGTGCCCCACTCAGCTGGCTGTTCGGGGAGCGGGCGAAGTGTCAGCTGACCTGCCCTGATGTGCACCGGCAGGCTGATGATGGCCCCGGCGCTGTTGGAGGCCAGACAGCGCACTTCGGTGCTGTGGAAGTCGTGGCGATACATGTCCGGTGAGAACGAGAAGTATCTGGAACGAGGGAGGGGCGACTGAAGCGTGCTCGCAGGACGTGGTACACGTGGTGAACAGCTGGCGGCGCTGGGACGTCCAATTATCGGCAGCTTACCCACGGCAGCAGTCGGTGCGGACACAATCTGCTCTGCCGCACGGGATCAGTTGGTGGGGGGTGCTGGATCCCGTGCGAGCGCGGATGTCGAGGTCACCGAGGACATTGTTCTTGTGTTATAATGACAGTTTACTACTTCGTTGTGCCATAACAACGCTCCAAGTTGCAGAAACTTAATCTGCTGCATTTTTGTGCTTCCTGCTTTGCATCTCTATCCTCTTCTTTTTATTCGGCAGTTGACTTCGTCGCAATACGCCCGGTTCTATTCGCCCATGGAGACTGACGCAAGAACAGACGCATGTTGTAGAAGTGATCCTCGAACTGACGGAGATTTAGCTACGTCCAGAACGTTTCTCCATTGATGTCTCGCGTGGCCGTCGACAGTCAACACCTCACACGTTCGCCACTCTCCGCAGCATTCCTCCGCGTCGTCTATTTCATCAAAGCCCTTCTGCTCCAGGGAGCTCAGCTTTGTCGACGCACCGGAGAGCGGTCGGGCTTCTGACCCGATTGCCAGGCTTCTTCCAGGACGGACGCCTGGCGTCACGTTTTTGTCTGTCGGCGCTATCGAGTCGCAGCCGACCCGAGCGAGCCCGTGTTGACATAGCGACGTACAAAGGAGGCCGCCGTTCGCCTCTGCCCACCGACGGCATTAGCCCCGGCCGTCGTTGCGAATCCAATCCTCAGAGAATTCAGCGGAGCAGACTGTAGCAGGCATCGGTGATCGGATCGCGTAGCCTTCAGCTGCGTTGAAGAACGCTTTATTAACATAACCATATAAAATACGACACATTGTTGCATTTTTACACGCACACAAATGCTAGGCGTTCGTCTCATAACTTAAGATGTTCTGGGAAGTGTGCGAGTGTTTTGGTGCAAAATGTTTAACACATCTGAATTATTGAATACAACTCTCTGACCGCAATGTGTTCGTGTGACATCTAGACTCCGTTCCTCGACTTTCTGACGATCAAGTGAGAACTTGTCCTAAAATATCCAGTCACCGCATTCAAATCTGATATAAATTATCAGACCTACATGAATAATTTCAGGGGCTCTCAGATCGGAGACGAGACTCTCAGAAGCTGCTGTCCAGTAGCAGAGACGGCGTGCTCGGGAGAAAATTAATGATAACGCTCGTTAAGGCCACATAAACATAGCATCATTAGCAAGCATGCCTGTATTACAGCCGGCAACAACACAAGCGTTTCACTTATTGTGTTGGATAGTTAATTTGATTTACACCAACCGGCTCGACTTTGTGCTAGCTGGGCTCAATCGAACCCTATGACAGATGCCATACGTATAGCACGCTGCAAAAAAATAGCACGTGTAGCTCATTTTTGATCAATCGTCAGTAAACTGATAACAGTTTTGACACAATCGCAACAACCATCGTCACAGTTCTCTTTCAAGAGAGTGCCCTGCCTTTGGGTCACATTTCAAAATGTACTCTAGTGAAACCTCAGGACAAGTTACGTCTTATAATAACGCTGGGCTCTGCCACTGCAGTAGAGCCAACACATCATAAGGATATCAATTTTAATCATTTTCGAGTCCTATTCGATTCAAAATTGTGTAAGTTTTTAAGTGAATTTGCGAAGAACATTATTCGCATGGATAAGACTGCAGTAATAGCCTTATCCCTGGGAGAAAAAGCAAGAGAATGGAAATAAATTGGGCCAGTGTTTCGGCAACATGCATTTATCGAGGCAAAAGCAGAAGGGAATTCACTTCCGCTATTGTCCCGAGAAAGGCATGCTGCCGAAATATCAACGCACCTATGCCTCCATTCTCCTGTTTTTTTTTCAGGGCGGTAAGGTTATTACCACTGTCTTATCTATTTCCGAGTCCAAATTGCGCTGCCAGTGTTTGTAGTGCTTGTAAGTGTAATTTTTTGTTGTAAAATTGTAAAAATGTAAATGCTTTGTAACAGCACTGCGCTTCATCCCTGAGGTATCGACCACCGCCATAACATACAATGCGCTTCATCCCTGAGGTATCGACCACCGCCACAACATACACCGTGCGCACCTCTACTGGGGCAAATAAAGGAACGTTTGTGACTGGCCAAGCGGGCAAGTGCCTGTGCAAGTGCAAGTGCCAAGTGCTCACTTAATTCGCCGCTGGGACCCCGTGTTTCCGCAGTAAGAAAACCATACGAAGGAACGCTACAGCGCGCGTGTCAACATTGGTTTGCTTGTAGTTGGCTTCAACGCATTGATTTGTCTATTTGTCATGTGTTGAATTTATTTTCATAAGCAGAACGAGGAGAAGCTTAATTACGTTTTTGACGAGATGCACTGCGATATTGGCTAGAATAGGGGCATAATCATATTAAGAAAGGCGTAACTTTTGTACAGGAAGGCTTTGACCGGCACACTCCGTAACTTATGAGTTTAATATCACAGCTTCTTTACGCATAACCGTGCTTGAGAAGATAGGTATCAGTGTACGAAGTAGACCGTAATGGAACACTAATCGGTAAATGAGGCTGCAAATTTATCTTCATCGATGAAATTAAAGGGTATGCCAGTTTGATTCACCTTCTTGTATTGTACTGCTTCCTTTCGTGTAACGTGGGAAGATCGCCAGCTGGACGACAGGAACATGAGCCGCGTCTTGGGAGGCTCACCAATGCGGTCATTGTCCGAGACAGGGAGTGAAATGTTTTGATAATGCATTGGTGATCGACCACTAAGGCTACAAACGCATCGTTATCGATGCCAAATCATTATCGTCTCTAGCCCTAGTAAGCATTACTCATTTCACGCCCCACTGGGGCCAGGCGGGTGTCGGGCTTCGGGGTCGGTTAACCTACCTGAGGGGGTAGACTGTGCCGTTGACCCCGGTGTAATGCGGCTCAGGCCTCAGATGGACGACTGAAAGACCATGTGGTTTCCGGGCGCGCGCCAGTGTGAGCTTGCCAACAGGACTGACCAGGACACCAGTTGTCCAAGAAAGGCCCTGCCCCCGTTGGAAAAGTATGCAGACATTTCGTTCGGATTTGCAACTCACACGTTGATATTTAGATGATTTAGAACCTGGCTGTATTTGGGCCTTTGGTCCGTAACCCAAAGAAAAAACATACAAATAACGGGCCAATAACGACACTGGTTCAAAATGCTCCTACCCTGACACGACAAATCGCTGCACTCATTGCTGGCACGTTTATTTATGCTGGATATCGCACTTTTAGGTGATGTTTCTAGTTTCGACTTGCGACAGTTTGCAAAACTAATATGACATCATCAAAACCCGAATTTTTAAATAGCCATCATCAAGCGAACGCGCTCCAGACTGGCTGGCAGATGGAAGTAACTGCTAACCAACTAATAACTGCCAACCAGTCAGTACAAGTCATGTCGCGTGTGACTGTTATACGCGACATTTCTTGCATTGGAAAACTTATGCCTGTCATTACTTAAACAATCAGGACTTATACAGTCTTTATTTATAAGCGACAGAACTTCTGCAGCAAAAACTCATACACCACATGAGTACTACACGACAGACTCATGCTGGAATAACAAACAGAATTAATTACCTCTACAGCAAAGACTGCCAGCAGTCTTTACTTACATGAGGCTTTATTTCAACCGCAACGAGCCTCATGTAACATATGCCGCACCACAGAACTTGAAAAGAATTAAAGAGTGAGACTTAAAAACGCTATATCCGCCATTGCGTCTGCCGTAAAAATCTATATGGTCTGCATCAGCCATATTACTCCTTCGACCAATACTTATATGCGACATGTGTGCTATACGATACAGGTCACGCTCCGAAAATTATATCTGTCAGTACCCAAACCAACAGGTCAAGCCTCACACAAATCTTGCAGAGGGAGCGAACACATGGAAGCACTTGGCTGGGTGCAATCACACTGTTGTGGCTGCTGTGAATATTGCGATCGTTAAACCCACTGCGGCAATAATTCTACGCGACTGCATAGAAGTCTCTTCTTCTTCTACAGAAGTGAATGGTGCAATGTCGTTGTGTTGCAAAACAAGTTTGAATGCTAAGCAGAAAAAAGGGGCCAAACCTGCTCCAAAATACTCGAAGCGCGGTGTCTGCCCCGAATGTGGCGCACCTTCCTATCGCGGATGGGGCTGGACGCGGTCTCCTACTGACTATCAGACTACCCTTCTGGCTAGATGTTCATTGAAGCGCGGCATTGCTTCTAATGCAGTGACTTGTATAAGGCTCTGGTGCTACACGACAAATATAATATTTCAAGGAGTTATACCACCATTGACATCTTGCCACCCAAACTACAGCCCTTGTTTATACGTCAAGTACTACACATAGACCAAAATCACGTAACATGCCGAATAAATAACTTTTCGTGCCAGCACCACGAACATTTAGCTTCAGTGCTACCCAGCTGGGGTTTCCTCCCAGCCCGTAAGCTGTTCTTCATTGCTCCTAGGTGCCCACACATTTTGCACTTCACGGCCAGCATTATAAGCAGTAGAAGTATTGTTGCGTATACGTAACAACATCGTACGTTCTTACAGTAAAAGTAAAGGGAATTCTGTATTCTAACCTAAAAGTTGCATCGTCTAGCACTAATCTTGCCTCTTAGTCTTTGCAATAGAAGTTAATTTGTGTGTAACCAATGACTGTATATGCTTTTTGCAGTAAAAGTAATGATGGGTTTAAATCTGAAGTGTAAGTTTGGACGTGCAGTTCCTAAGTTATGGATAAGTCATTGCAGTAGAAGTAATGCCATGCATACCTAATGGCTGTATACGTTTTTGCAGTAAAAGTAATGGCGGGTACAATTGTATGAAACATAAATTTTGTCGCGTAGCATTAACATCGCAGATACAATTTTGTCGCGTAGCAGTAACATCGCAGATACAATTTTGCAGTAGAATTAGTTTCGTGTATAAGTATTGGTTGTACAAGTTTTTCCAGTAGAAACAATGACGGATATAATCTTTTGCAGCACGGATTTTGTCGCGTTGAACAAATGTCGGACATGAATATCGACAGTAGAATTGATTTCGTACCATTCCTGTCGGTAGGAGTTTTTGTTATAGCACTTATGTCGTGGAACTCATTCAATCCCACCGCTGCTACTTGTGTAACCGCGCGCTGTTTCAGGTCGACACGCATGCTACGCACTCCATGCTTAGACTTAAAGCTGCCAAAGAAATGGAGCTCAGCTCAAAATGTGTCCAACCAGCAGCTGTCTGCCACATTCCCGAAACTCTCGAATTTGGCCTCCAAGATATCCTTTTCGTAGTCCAACCACATCTCATTAGTTCGTGCGACATATACGTTACCATGGCAACATGGTACTTTAGGCCGGGTCATTGGTGGATATTTCCCACCAGTGTCCCCAAGCATGTCGGAATCACATTTTGTGAACGATGCACCAATCACCCAACTTCCACACCGTCTCCCACAGAACACATGATTTTTCGGTCCAATGAGCGAAATCTGATGTTGCGATTTGGTTCATGAGCTCAGTTTGTTGGCACTTAGGTCATTCGGCTTCGTGAGAGTTTTGTGTTCTGTGTCAATAACTTGTGCCGATTACTGGTTCCTCGAACTTCAGGTGTACGAATTTGCACCAACAGGGCGCGTTCAAACCACGAGCCCGTTACCTTGCGGCGTGCTGACATTTGTGCTCCCTATTGGTACAACCCAGAGAGCATTGCTATCTGGCGCGCGCGTTGCAAGAGCATTGAACGGCGGCCGTTGCCTCGACTGACCTGATCTGACCCTTCTTGACCAGCCGCACGCCCGGCACCGAGGTCACCTGGCGTCCACCGGCCGAGACCCAGGTGAGGTTGGGGGGTGGCGAGCCGTCGGCGCGGCACTCCAGCGTCGTGCCCGTCTGGTGGTCGAACACGCCGGCGTCGCGTGGCGGTATGCTGGTGAAGCTGGGCCCCACGCCCTGCTCGGCCGCCGGCTCCGGCTCGGCTGAAGACAGACGCCATTCGTCAGAGGGCGGCGGGCGCGCGGTGCCTCGGCTGACGTCAGAGCTGCTGGCCAGGGTCAGAGGTCTCAGAGGTGAATGCGAGGGTCCGGGGTGCTGCCGGCTGGGGTCACAGGCGGCGGTCAGAGACCAGAGGTGCCAGCTGGGGTCGGATATCAGAGGTGAAGGCTGGGGTCACGGGCGCCACCGGCTAGGGTCGAGGCGGCTGTCAGAGGTCAGAGGTACCGGCAGGGGTCAGGGGTCAGATGTAAAGGCCATGGTTAGGGGGATACCAGAGGTCAGGGGTGCCGCATGAGGTCAGAGGTCGCAGTCAGAGGTCGCGGGCCTTTGTTGCTTCACGTCGGGCTGGAGAAGATTGCTGTCATACTGTCTAAAAGTTTTCCCACGTAGTTATTTGTCGCAGCGTAAACACAGAATTGTTGAGTGATAATGCTAGAACTACAAGACAATTACCTGCACATTTAGCTGCAAAGCCTCTTCGGTTCCCTTAGAGCAACTAGGATGATAAGGCCGTGCAAACGAAAACACGCGAGCTGGAGATAATGGAATTTCTAATGAAATCGAAAGGATACTCAAACCTCGCTCATGCACTGGAAATGACCACAGTTTGACAACTTTGGACTGGTACTGCGCAGGAAACGACCTTGATGCGAGGAAATCATACTAAAACCACTGACATCCGGCTGGTACCGGCACGGAGGCGGGACTTCAAAACGCTCAATGCGGGCGAAAATTAAATGGTATTGACAAAGCGCCGGTGTCGTCAGCCCAGGCGCCGCTCCAGTCCTGACAGCACCTTGGTACCAAACCTTGTCTGCCATGTTGGACATGCGGGTGGGTGGGGGGGGGGGACTTCCCATCGCGACTTGTTGAAAACCACGCGACAGTCATGTGTGGCTCAGGTGAAGAAGAGCACGTAAAATTAAAGCAAAACAGACATCTAGACAGGCGATGTCGGACATCTGAACGGGTAGAAAATACCCTGGCATGCGTAACTCCCTTGAGAGTCGTCAATGCCAGCTCATTAAGTTTATCTGGCATTTGTTTACACCAAAACAAAACAAAAATAGAGACGGCCTCTATGCAGAAGTGCAATAGCATGGACGTTGATCCAAAAACAGCGCAATACTGACCTATTACTCGGTATGTCCAAGGGTGCCAATGAATCGGTTTATAGTAATTTAAGTCAGATACGCAGGTTGCACGGTATACCAAACTCCGAATACTTGAAATATCAGCAGAGAAAATTACATATGTCAGACCAGGCAAATAAAACAACATCATACCTTATTCGCATGCGTGTTTATTAAGCAAGGTTTTCGGTACGCGGACAATAATAGCACTCACCCTCGGCAACTGAAACAGTGGTGTGTTTCCTCAGAACAGCAGGCCGAAACTAAGAGAAACTGTGCGCCTGACAACAGCTTCAGCTTTTCTATACGTCTCCAAACAGGGCACGCTAGCCCGGAATCGTGCTCCGTGCCACGGAACATTTAAAACCTAGCTCCGGCCCGGTCCACGTCACAAATTCAACTTCGGCAATATCGTAAACATCATGCTACGCCCCGAATTCGATCAGACTCTGTTGGCGAGCTACTAGGGCCTGCTGCGCCACTGGCGGCGGCCACCGTCGCAGGTGATGGGCAGATGGGCCGCGCGCGCCGCGCTCCAAGGTGACCGGAGTTGATGCCAGCGCACATCGTTACAAGTTTGGAGCTGAAGTTCAGGTGCTGACCTTGACACGTGGGCCGCCGGCCGTGCGCAGCCGAGCGGACCCGACGACAAAAATAAATTAAGCCAATGTACGCGAACAAATCGATGTCAACGGAAAAATCCTGGATCTTGGTGGTACTTTGGCGCTTTATGTCGGAAGGAGTGCTACACATGCTGCTTGTGACGTTGTCTCCATGGCTATAGCCGTAAATAAACTGCTATGTTATGAACACTTCCTTCCATTTTCCCGCTGCTGATCTTGATGGAATTGTGCGAACTGTTTTAGGACATCACTGCATGAAATAATGCAGCAATGAATATAATAAATGCTACCGTTTTTTAATCATGTTGATTATTGCATCGTTTACGACAACTTCATGACAACCCCACACAAGTTACGGGTTCGGCAGCTTGTTATGGCTACAGTAAGGTAAAATATACCATGTTTAACCTCAATGCGCGTGTACGAACCACAACTTTATTAGCGCTACAAAAAACATACGAAGGCAAATATTTCACTTCTTATGCAAGAAATGGAAAACAAAAAAGTATGAGGCACATGCGCTCATTATGTTAGAGATGTTCTAATGAAAACCACCTTGAGGGGAAAGGGGAATGCTGGGTAACCGGGGCAGAACTAGAGTGACTGATGCATGGTGGTGACATCAGCACTCCTTATTCGAACAGGCTCATATTCGGGATTTATTCGAACAGGTCCATCGGCTGTCGTGACCACGTCTCTTAATGCTAAAAACTGACTCAAAGCGGGATAGATTTGTTTGAAAGGACGTGAGTGACATGCGTGTCTCAAGCAGGCAAGTCAATAATGCGGTGCTTTACAGAATAAGTTAGAGGATCAGCCCTTCGTCAAGTACTAACAAGAAACAACAATAATTGAATTGTTAAGCATGTGACGTCAAGAGCAACTCCGAATGAGGTGGTGAGCATTATACCAACCAAAGACGTGTCCTTTTTAAACCAAAGACGTGTCCTTAGTTCCTCTGGTTTCGTAGCAGCGGCGGTTTTTGGGGAACACTATCCAGCTATCTACGTCACGGGCGGTGGGCGGCAACCGATGATAAGACGTGTCCTTAGTTCCTCTGGTTTCGTAGCAGCGGCGGTTTTTGGGGAACACTATCTAGCTATCTACGTCACGGTCGGTGGGCGGCAACCGATGATGCCGCGGATCGCGCGCGGCGGGCCGACATTGTTACATTGATGTTTCACATTCGAGGATATTGAACCAGGCATTAGACATGATGAAACAAGCTCAGTTATAGCCATTGGTATGTTTTTTAAGTGGAAAACCGATCAAGGCATCACAATTCTATTTTAGGTCAATATGCTGCGCGATGCGTCATGGTTTGATTATGTCTTCGTACCTTGCACAGCATCGATTGAGAACCAATTGCCGGCTATTGTATCTGGACATCTCGCTCAGGAACGCTAGATATGAAAGCCTCGCCAATTGTATTTTTGGTCTTGATCACCGCATGTCTTATGGGATTGCAGGATTTTAATGACGTTTTTATGACGTCATGAATCCAAAGGTGGTTTTGAAATGCTCTCCCCGATGCACCTTCCCCACTTTCGCGGACGTGTTGCTCAGGAACTAGAGGGGCTTAGGTCTTCAGACGGCCAGGATTGTAAATAACACTTAAAGGTCTTCACGATGGCTATTTCAGTTCAAAGTCCCATATAAATGTGGAATACTACCTTTCACGGAGCTATATATTGTAAATATATGCCCAGTGCACATGCATCATTTTATTTATCATTGAACGAGAAACACGCCTTTTTAACCTCGTGTCGCCACGAGACATGACACCACGTGCATGACTTTGTAAAGCTGGAAAAGTGCGACTTTCTGGACGATGAACATTCGATCTGGCATGATGGGGTTAATTGTTAACCAAACAACATAAAAAGCATGGCACCAATCTCGGGATCGTGTTGAAACTAATCCATTAATGTTTTCCGCTGGGCTGTATATTCATTCCTTTGGAAACGCCCGGGGGTCACTTCAGTCCCCACCCCCTGTCCGTCACGCTACGCCACGTCACGCCCGTCACGCTACGAAAAACGGGGAAACAGAGCGAGAGCTAATATTGCAGGGAGTGTTCCACATTCGTACGGGTTTTAAATGAAAAAGCCATCTTAAATATCATTTGGTGTGACTCACAGCCCTGCCCTTCTTAAGACCTAAAACCCTCTAATTTCTGAACTACACACCCCCGCAAATATGTGCAGACTTTTTCGTGCTGACTACGCCAAGGTCACCCATGATGCAACCATGACGCCATAATAACGCCAGTAAAAACCTGCCATCCCACTGACCACAGAGCGTTCAGGGTAACTACTATAATTGTCGAGTCGCTCTTACCTTGGGTTCGTGAGCACGATTTTCAGATAAGAGGGTCGTCAGTTGGCTTTCAACAAACATTGCGCAAGCCATGCAAGATGACAACACAAATGACGTTTTGTCCTACATATTGCAAGAAGTTATGCCTTCTTTCTAGTTATTACGAAAATGCAACTTGTCATCGAATTACTTGAAAATAGCGCTATGACGGGACATGTGAATACAAGTAAGTATCTTAAACTTAAAGATAAATATGCAAAAACTGCAAGAGAAAGGGACAAAACACGGGCACCCAACGATACTCGGTTGAGCACACTTTCAGCCCCGCCGTGGGCCACCTCTCGGGAGATTGGAGCACTGCAAGCGAGCGTTGCCATGCAAGGTTCCATGGCACAAGCAAGCAACGACGCACTGACGGGCATGCCTATTAAAAGGGCAAACTTTGTTGTCTAGAGCACTGAAACCCTTGAGCACCAGTTAAACGTATACCGATAGTTATGTGAGCTTATTTCATTATACTTGATGCCCACTTCAATATATTAAAGTAAGGAGCATTCACTTAACACGGGCTCTATCAGGAGTGAATGCCACGTAGTGGTACATTTCCGTGCCATCCCATTCCAATTCCTGCTTTGCGTCATGTGTGGGCAAAAGGGAAGAGACCTCAGGGTAATTCTAACTTATCAAATCATTGAAAGGAAATTATATTGTGAGTTTTTTTTGTGCGAAAACAGCGCACATTTCTTGAACGCAATGTGTCAGTCAGACCAGCACGTGCTCTACGTTTTCATAACCTGCGAATCTTTAGACCTCTATTCATATTGCCTCTCCGGTTGAAATTGGGGCTTTACGACATATTCAAGTGCTCAGCTTATGTCAAGCCGCCTTGTCCCTCCCCTGGCGAGCAGG